CCTTCCACATCACCACCACCTCCCTGCCTATCAGCACCATATGCTGGGACTTTGGCGATGGCTCTCCCAAGCTGGACATGGCTGGTCCTGCTGCCACCCATCGATATGTGCTGCCCGGACACTATCATGTGATGGCAGTACTGGCCTTAGGGGCAGGCTCAGCCACACTGGAGACAGAGGTGAAAGTAGAGGTGGCACCTGCTGCCCTGGAGCTCGTGTGCCCGTCCTCTGTGCACAGAGATGCAAGCCTTGAGTTGGGTATCCGGAACCGTGGAGGCTCAGACCTTGAGGCTACCTACAGCATCCTAGCCTTGGACGAGGAGCCAGTCCAAGGTAGGTACCTCAATAGCTGGGCCCTAGGTCACCAGTCCTGAGTAGGGGGAGAGCCCACACTTTGGTCACGGGTACATGTTGATGCCTGGTCTCTGCCCATCATCCCCAGTGGTGCACCCGCTCTGCCCCTCGGACACGGAGATCTTCCCTGGCAATGGGCACTGCTACCGCCTGGTGGCAGAGAAGGCGCCTTGGCTGCAGGCACAGGAGCAATGCCGGGCCTGGGCTGGGGCCGCCCTGGCCATGGTGGACAGTCCTGCAATCCAGCACTTCCTGGTCTCCCAGGTTACCAGGTGCCTGCCCCCTCTCCCCAGGCCACAGAAGGGTGGGGTTGCCAGGATGGGGGTGTGGGCAGAGCCCAAGTCGAGATGGGGAGGTTGGAGGGATCTTGTCTTGCCCCGTGGATGGCTGTTCCTACAACTCTACAGGTGCAGATGTGGACATGGGCTAGCGCAGCTCCTGTAAACACTTGTGGCACGTGTCGTCGTGAGAGCTGGGGTCAGGCTCCCATCTGTCCTGTCCCTGCAGGGGAGGACTCTAGATGCTCCTGACAGGGCTGGTCCTGGGATGCCCTGGAGGTTGTGCTTTCTGCTTCTTGTGCCCCGTGCCCGTTCCCCGCTTAGAGAGGGGCAGGGGTGTCACATACCACCCACACCATGGATAGGTAGCATGGTGCTTGTGGGGACATGTGCCTCCCAGTGAGTGGGCCAGACCCTTGTTTGTGGCCCCAGAGTACACTGTGGCTGGTGTGGGAAGTGAGGCCGTACGCCCCTTTCCTGGGTGTCCATGTACTGGGCAAGGGTGGGCAATTCCTGTTGTGCCTGTGGGTAATCATACCCTGTTTATCCCCAGTGCCAGATGTAATTAAGGCTCAGAGTGGCTAAGGTCCTTTCCCAGGCAGGTCATCTGGGGCTCAGTGAAATTCCCTCCCTCCCATGTGTTTCCTCCATGCGTCTGTGCCAGAGCACATACATCTATCCATGAGCCCTGGCTCCAGAAAGGGCTTCCTACCTCGGCAGTGCTGTCAGCTCATTTGGGGGTCTGATACGAGTCCATTTGGGTTCCTAAATGCTGCACCTGCAGGGCAAAGTGTGGGTGGCCCACGGCCTTACATCTGAGGCAGAGCCTTCTGTGGAGCCCTCGGCCATGCCACCCTGGCCTCGTGGGCATGGATGGGTGTGGCATGGGCTTTGCTTGGTAGGTCATGTATCTGAGCCTCAGTTTCACTCTCTGGATAAAAGTGACGGTGCTAGAGCCCACTTGCCAGGGTGCTGTGAGGAACACACTCCGAGTGCTTGGCCTGCCTGCCATCTGCCCACAGGAGCCTGGATGTGTGGATTGGCTTCTCAGCTGTGGAGGGGCCAGAGGCAGGCCTGGCACCCCAGGGAGAGGCCTTCAACCTGGAGAGCTGTCAAAACTGGCTGCCTGGGGAGCCACACCCAGCCACGGCTGAGCACTGTGTGTGGCTGGGGCCTGCCGGACAGTGCAACACAGACCTGTGCTCAGCACCACATAGCTACGTCTGTGAGCTGCGGCCTGGAGGTACATTTCCCAGCGCTTAGTGTTGGCTAGGTGTTTGGTGAGCACCTGCTCTTGTGCTTGGGCTGAGATTGTACCAGACGAAACAGATGGAGGGGGGGGCAGCTGCCAGGTGGCTCAGTCTCAGGTCTGCCCCACCCTGGATGTCCCGTTTCCCTTCAGCCCGGCACTGGCATTCACTGCACAATTACCATCTCTAGGCCCCGTGTGGAATGCTGAGAACTTCCTCATGGGAGTGCCTGATGGGGGCCTGCAGGGGCCCCTGATTCTGCTGACACCACAGGAAGGCCTCGTGCCACCCCAGCATCCCGTGGAGGTAGGCTGGCCCCTCTGTGTTCCGGAGGGCATCCCCCTCCAGGGTCTTGCCTTACCCTGCTATTGTGTGTCTTTAAGAAACAAGTTGGCAGTGGGCTACCCACTTTCCGGTCCCCCTTCCATCTCTTAGGCAGAAGCTTTCCCTCAGTAAATTTTTCCTACTCTTAAAAAAAGAAAAAAAGAAACAAGTTGGCAGCCAGGCATGGTGGTGTACACACCTGTAATCCCAGCACTTGGGAGGCTGAGGCACAGAGATCACTGTGAGTTTGAGGTCATCCTGGGCTATATAGCAAGACCTTGTCTCAAAACTAACAAACCACCCAACCAAAAAAGGGAACAGCTTGGCTTTGGGGAGATTGTTTCAGTTTTAATGACCAGCATGGATAACTTGGAAACTCCATGTAGGGCAGCAGTGAAAAGCATCTAATCCCATTATTTGGAAGAACTACTGCTTTCCTAGCTCTTGCTCTGGGTCAGTCGTGGTGAACCCATGGCACGTGAATACGTGGCACAGCAGGTGCTCGGCGCCCTTCCATTGCCGGGCCAGTCAAGTCGCCCCAGCACTGCCCTAGCGGTCAGTGGTCACATGGGCACCACACTCGTGCTTGGAAAGGAGTGGTGGTACAGGGAGATGATGTCGCAAGACAGTGATGTCATGAGCTTTTGCGAGGCTAGTCGGTATTCAGGTTTAATCGCAGTGTTGGGACTTTTTAAAAGTGGGTTTGGGGTTGAGTTTGGATACTCGAAAAGGTTTGCTAACTGTTTTAATTATTTTTAAAACCACAGTAGGGGGTACATAATAAGAATGAAGATGTGTTCTTACACGTACCAACACCCTGTGATGAATGTAAAAAGTGTATTATAAACGTGTACTAATAAAAATGAAATTAAAAAAAAAGACTGTAGGAAGGGACCAGGAGTAAAACTACAGTAGGGCTCACACAGATGAATTTAATCTGAATTTTCCTCCCAGGTGACACAAAAATCATGCCTGTGGTGGCCTCAGGAAGGTCCCTGCTCTCCTCTGTCCTGCTATTTGGGACCAAGGAGTCCAGGCCCTGGGGTGGGTTCTCTGGAACTGAGGTGGCCCTCTGTCCACCAGGTCATGGTGTTCTCTGGCTTGAGCCCAAGCCGTGAAGCCTTCCTCACTACAGCTGAGTTTGAGACCCAGGAGCTTGAAGAGCCTGCCCAGTTACGGCTTCAGGTGTACCGGCCTTCAGGAGGGGCAGGTGGGCCTCTGCAATGGCAGTGGGAGCGAGGGGGTTTGGGTGGGCCCAGTTCTCAGGTCTTCTGGCCCCTAGCCTGGAGGTGAAGAGATACGGGATCTACAGAGCCTTGCTCTTATGTCCCAAGAACAGATCAGGTGGGGCCTGCCTCATGGTGCATGGGGGGTGCCCTGGGTCAGTCAGCTGGCCTTATGGCAGAGGAGGTGAGGGGCCTGGGACGATACGCGGCTAGGTCTGGTATTGAATCAGGTGGATAGGGCGTCCCTAATTGGCCTCTCAGTAAGGCAGGACTCTTGGTATCCCTTCTCTTCTTGCAGGGACTCCAGAAAACAGAAGTGAGCCAGTCAATAGGACTGAGCCACCCCCCAGGTGTATGCTAGAGGGATGCTGGTGTCCTGGTGCCAATCTCTGTATGCCTCTGGATGCTGCCTGCCACCTTCAGGCCTGTGCCAATGAGTCCATGTTGGAGCCTGGGCTCCCCAGAGCCACTTATGCTCTGTGGAAAGAATTTCTTTTCTTTGTGCCTGCAGGGCCCCCCACGCAGTATTCGGTATGTGTCCCTAATCTGCCTGTCAGCCTCTGAGCAGCTCCCCAGTCCTTCCTCTCAGCTGCCCAAAGACCTGGTCTCCCACCAAGCGGAGAGAACATGACACCTCTGAACAGCCCAGCACCTCCCCTCATCTCCTTCATGTCCCTGCCCACTGATACCGAGTGCCTTTACTTGGCTCCCCATGCAAGAAGCACCTGCCTAGCTGTGTCTTCTAAAGGAGGAGGCCCTCCTTTAACATGGTAGCGTCTTTCCAGCTTTTGAGTCCTCTGAGAAGGGCCTTTCCACCTGAGGCAGCCCAACTTGGCTGTACCCTCTCTGGGATCCTGTAGCCTTTATCTGCCTGCCTTTTTGTTTGTTTGAGACAGGGTCTCACTATGTAGTTGAGACTGACCTGGAACTCACTGTGTAGCCCAGGCTGGTCTCGAACTCACAGCGACCCTCCTCTCTCAGAG